GTACCGAGGAAGAAATGGCAGAAACTCAATTTGACTCCGGCTCGGCTTATATGATTCAGCTCCAAAACGGCTCGGCTTGGGGTGGCCAAATGGCTTAGGAATAGTGGCAAAAAACCTCCTCTTTTATATATTGTAAGGATATGTCTTATGTACGCATGTCATATCAAAAAATTCAATTTGGTAAATACGATTTTCCATTTCAATTGTACCATGACTCAACCACTATATTTTTTTCTAATATAAATAGTGTGCAATTGTCTCCCAATTGTCCCAAAATTCACGACCAAAAAAATTTTATACAGCAGCTTTCATATAAAGCAGCTGTAAATTCCTAGTATATTTTTTTCAAAAGTTCGTTTGATCAATCAATGTAAGATACTTTTGTTTAAGTTGTTTGTTTTTTTATACTTTTATATTCAGTAATTTATGCATGAATTGCTATTGGACATTCGGGTTCTTTATTAAAAGATATGAGATCTTATCGAAATTTAAGATGACCTAAGATGAGTGCGTCGCTTGGTCACCGATATATTCCATAAGAGAAGAGTGGTATAAAACGTTTATTTTATTGTGATATAATTGTGTATGAAAACTACATGTATCTAATTGAATATTTCCGCAAAAAAAATGAATTTTTTGTAACATCCTAGTGTTTGTGAAATTTTTGGGACGTTACGTTTTCAATATCTACATACTTATTTGCCACAATTACAAAAGCTAATTGAAATTAATGAGCAAAACAAAGAATGAAGAAAGCACTTGGGTTCTCTTTCAAAATAAGTAATTTGAGACTATTATAATCACTTTGATATTACATGCCCCATTTGAAACACTCAATAACAGAGAGGTGTAGAACTCGACACTTGTTTAACACCAATAAAACATTCTATTACTTGTCCTTTCTTGTTCACATAATGAATAACAATTCATCAACAAATTAAGAAAGAATCCATCACCAATATCTTTCACAATAACATCGAGTGTTTCAAATGGAATAGCACATAAAATATCATTTAGAATACTAGGTGGTGTTAATTGGAAATTTAAAAAGATTTCTTCAAATAAATGTATTTATCTTATCGTTATTATCATGTAACCACTACAATAATTCAATAAAATTCCTTAAATCTTCATATTCGTTATGTCTACAAAATGAAAGCCCTTGTCATACAAGCAATGAACATAATCAATTGATGCATTCAAGCGAGCCTCATAATCTTTTGTTTTTTCCGACTTATTGAAGGGAGTAGTCTCAATATTTTATCTTTGATAATAGCCTTATTCTTGATCCGCGCTTGATTATGGCACTACCACTTTCCCAACATAAGTTCGAAGTCTTCATTTATTTTTCTAATTTGAGGATCTTATATCAACAAAAGAATCACCACACCACATTCCTCACTGTTTGGTTTGAAAAGACAATAATAAAAACAAAATACACCATCTTTTACTATATTATATTCCAACTATTCACGAAAGTCATTAAACTAAGAAAGTTAAAGTCGCCTTAATGATGAATCTTCAAATTCTTTTTGTGGACACACGATGGACCCCTTTGTACATATGCTCTTCAAATTTCATCCCCGGATATTAACATTATCGTTTATAATTGAAGTTCTTAATCCATGATCCGAAGAAAGTTGGACTAAATCAATTTTATCTTGAACATCTCTTTTATCTGGAGTATATGATCTTTCTGAACATCTATTTTATCTTGAACACTCGTTTCATCAATATTTTTCTCTTCACTGAAAATACAAATTTTCATTTAAAATATTTCTTCATAACTATTACAAAATCAAATTTAATAAATAAATGAATATTTATATTTTAACAACGATTCCAATAATCTATTCAAGTTAACAACTATAATTATAAAATCACAATTAATTTATGTTGCCTGCGATCAATTACTTAATTCCTATAGGCACCATATTTCAATTTTCATCATAACATAATGTAGAATTTCAAGATTAAGAGCTTGTTTGAGAGAGATTTTTGGGGGAAGAATTGATTTTGAATAGTGATATGATGGGAAATGTGTGGTTGAAAAAGAAGAAAAAATTATTGATGTGATGGAAAATATTATTTTATTGAAGAATGTGTGGTTGAAAATGAGAATT